ATTGTGAATTGTGCTGCTATAAACACTTCGAGTGCAGGTGTCTTTTTCATAAAGTGACTTTTGATCTTTTGGGTAGATGCCCAGTAGTGGAATTGCTGGATCAAATGGTAGACCTACTTGTATCGCTTTGAGGTATCTCCATATTGCTTTCCACAGAGGTTGAACTAGTTTGCAGTCCTACCAGCAGTGTAGGAGTGTTCTTCTCTCTCTGCATCCATGCCAGCATTTGTTGTTTGGGAACTTTTTGATAAAGGCCATTCTCACTGAAGTTAAGTGATATCTCATTGTGGTTTTTTTTTTTTTGAGACAGAGTCTCGCTTTGTTGTCCAGGCTAGAGTGAGTGCCGTGGCGTCAGCCTAGCTCACAGCACCTCAACTCCTGGCTTGAGTGATCCTTCTGCCTCAGCCTCCGGTAGCTGGGACTACAGGCATGCGCCACCATGCCCGGCTAATTTTTTATATATATATCAGTTGCCATTAATTTCTTTCTATTATAGTAGAGACGGGGTCTCGCTCTTGCTCAGGCTGGTTTGAACTCCTGACCTTGAGCAATCGCCCGCCTCGGCCTCCCAAGACTCAGGTTACAGGCGTGAGCACAGCGCCCGGCCTCATTGGGCCTCATTGTGGTTTTGATTTGCATTTCCCTGATGATTAGAGATGTCGAACATTTTTTCATAACTTTGTTGGCCATTATTCTGTCTTCTTTTGAGAAGTTTCTGTTCATGTCCTTTTCTGCAACTTTATTTTTAAGAAAAGTATCTTGGAGATATTTTATATTATTATAAATAAATTTACCTTATTCTTTTAAACTGTTATCAGTTCATAATGAAAATATACCATAATTTCAACCACTCCTGTAGACATTTAGATCACTTCCATTATTTTGCTCTTATAAAAATGCAAAATCTTAGAAGTGGAATTGCTTGGCAGAAAGGTATGTACTTTTACAAATTTTAAAGACCATTATTTAAAATTATTTTATTGAGTTCAACTTGCTGGCATTTTTACCTGAGATTTATACAACTAGATTCATCAATGAGAATGTTCTAATTCTTCTAATGTTATCCTCTTTCTTTCCTCTCTCTTGTTCACTGCTCAAGTAGGTGAGATACTAATGTAATTGGACCAGATTCTAGGATATTCATGGTGCCAAGTTTATGAGTTATGAACCCTAGGGGGGTTCTCCCTATGGTGCTTTGCTCTTTCTCAAGGGAGAAAAGAGGACAAAGTAGACCTTACCTCTTCTGGTGGGGAGGCCCTCTTGTCTCTCTCTCTCCCGCATAGGCAGTGAGTGCAGCACATTCAGCCCTCCAGCCTCAGCAAGGAGCTGGTAGAAAGATGTGAGTTTAGAAGGAAGAAAAGCTCTACCCCTGTACCCAAGTCCTGTGCCCACACAGGGTTGCCAGGTCACCTTGCACTAAGGTCAGAGGTACCTAAAATAAGGAAATGCTTCATTGCCCTCTGCCATTGTCTGTCATGTCTACCCATCTCCCAGGAACTGTAGGAACAGGGTGACCTGGCCAAGGCAAGATTCAGCCCATTCCAGAATATCATTTTCATATCATCAAAATCTCATCCCAAGAGTATTTTCTTGGCCAGGTTTTAGTATCAGCATCTGTTTCAAAGAATGGTTTGAACTATCCAAGTGTTTGGGACTTATGCTTATATATATTAATAAAATATTGTTATTCAGTTCTTCTTAATATGCTATTGGGATGTGGATGCTATCGTGATGCTACAAGGCATCCGGTTCATTTAAAATGATGCCGCATTGCAAAGGTGTTGGTCACCATGAAGTTTGAGAGGTAAGGGTAATTTAAATATACTGCTTTATGCCATTTAAAATTGAAATGTGTCCTGTTAAAAACCCACTCAAATCCAGTGATGTTTTCACTGTTTCATTAAAATTCAACTGTATATGAACACAGTATTACTGGGATGACAGAAATTTCCTTTTGGAAAACTAAAGCCAACCATTGGTCAATACAGCATATATTAATAATTAACAGGGCAGGGTGTGGAGTCAGGCTGCCTGGGTTCAAATTCTGGAGCCACTAGCTGAGTGGCCTTGGAGTAGTTGCTTAATCTTATGTTTCAGTTTACATATCTATTAAAATGGAGATCATTATGGTATCTCCCTCATGGAACCTTTCTAAGTATTAAATGAGGCAATGTATTTAACTTAGAACATTGACATTCAGTCAACTCTAGCTATTATTTTTAAGTCTTAATTCAGTCTGGTAAAAGTGCATATAGTAATTGCTGGGCATGGTAGAACAAAAAGCTCTGTCCTTCATGAAAGATGTTGAATTGAGAGCCAGAAGCCTGCATTCACTCCTCAAATAATGCACAATGAATTTCACAGTATATATAAATTTCTGTTTGCACGCTACCTTCTCCCACCCCTACTCACCTCTCCCAAGGCTGCCTCTGATGGCCTAATCTCCCTTCACCAGAAGTGCCAACCAAGGTTCTGCAGGGAATGCTGCCTGATTTAGCTGTTCCCACTCCTCACATTCCTCCTTCCTCTTCAGAGGGAGTACCTCTGTTTTAATTCTATATCAGAGTCTTTCTCACATATATATACTATTCCCTTGAACTGCCATTCTCCTTTCCCTCTGGTTGCAGTTTTTGTGGCGGGCTTAGGAAAATTGCTTTTCCTCCCTTCATTTCATTCATTACCCTCCCTCCCCAGTCAAAGATTCTAATCATGGTGATAAGCCCAAGCAGTGTTAGTGAGAGACTTGTATAAAGAAAAATTATTCAACCTGAAAAGTAAACAGCACAAAGGTCAAATAACCATGAAAGGCTTGTCACCAGGCAGTACGTAGTTGCCAAGTGTTTGGTACGCACAAGTGATGCTTTGAGGCTGGACAGGTGAAGATAAATAGTTGGGGTTAGAGCACTTGTGGGAAGGCTGTGGGAAGAGAGAAGAGCTTGGGCTGCCCCTGAAGAGGCTGTGGTTGCCAAACAATGGCAATCCTGGTGGCCTGAGTAAGAACATCTGTGCTTAGAGGCAGGGACCAAGTTAGTCTCTTTGCTGGAGGGTTTTTGTTGGGGGCAGTGGGCAAAGAGGCTGAGAGTATAATCTGAGCCCTGAATGACAAAGTCAGGAGGTTAGACATTCAGGATGGCATTGATATAAACGTCAATTACTGAGGTTGAAAGTAGTATACAAATTATCTGTAAAAATTTAAATTCAAAACAAATTTGTCACAAGTTCAGTACAATGGTGTATCACCACTGCACTGAAGGTATTGTTATTCCAAATCACTGAATAAACAAAAAATAAGGCAAATCTACCTGTGGCTAGCTAACGTCCATATCAGTTGTGTAATACTTCAAAATGAGCTTAAACTTCTGCTCACTTATCTTTCTACAATTTAAGCAATGTTTAACATTTTCATAAGAATGTATGCTTATAGGCATATAAACACAACATGCAGAAACAGAGTCACCTGTTAGCGACTTACATATATGTTGCAAGTGTCCCAGGGAAGGGAACAGCATGGGGTGAGGGTGGGGACAGCAGTGCCTGGTGTGACCACATGTGGCACTGTGTTTGGCTGTGTGATGCTGTGTGCTCTGTCTTACCTGAGTAACCCTGGAATATTAGTTTGGCAGGGTGTGGAAAGGAGGGATTAACATGGCCGGCATTGGTAAATGTGGGTGAGGCTGGTGTACTGGTCTGCTTCTGAACAGAATCTTTAGTACTGTTAGGTTTTTGTTTGTTTTTTGGTGCTGCAGATGGCAAGTGTCATTTGCAGGGCCAAAGGTATACAATCTAAGAACTGTCAGGAATGTTTTGTGATATTGGCTCAAATATTTCAGTAGTTGTAAAATTATAAATGCATTAGAAGAATGTAGGAAAAGTAAAATCTTGTGGATGAAGTAGACTTTTCTGTTAGGGTTAGAATTATTCAGTTCTAATTTTAACTATGTTTTATTAGATTTTTGACCCAAAAACCTACAAATGATCTGGCAAATTCTTCAATTTTAAAATCTAAAACACAATTTAATATCCAAATATCCTAAAAACAATACTTACTGTAGGATCTTTTATTAAGAATTTAAAGATATTTTTTCATAAGCACAATTTTATTTCCTAGTAACTTAAAAAACAGGAATATATTTTGAGCCTTTTGCTTACTAGATAAAACTAAAAACTAAAACAAGGGTTAAAAATAAAGCTGAATGGAGAAAATAATGCCTATAAGAATATTCTTATCTATTAGATTAACTGCAGCCCCTGCCTCCAAAATTGCAAAATTGCTAATTTGCAAAATTGCAGCTCACTGTCCCTTCTAGCTGTCTCAGCTCCACCCCACATGCCATGTGGGTTTTTACAACTAAGCTTTTACAACTAACTGCCTCACCTCTTTAAGCTTCTTTCTCTCAACTGTACAACGAAGAGAACATCCCCTCATTGCGTTCAGGTGAAAATTAAACAAAATTACGCAGAGGTAAATGCTCTGCACGCTGGAAGAACGAACAGAAGTTCGTTTGTAACGTTTCCTGCAGTCTACTCGCCTCCCCGCAGCCACTGGTGGCTTCCCCCACAATCTGGTGGCACCCTGGCTCCCTACCCAGGCTCATCTGTGTATTTATTTGTTAATCTAATTCATTAATATTTTCCATTGTTGTTAATTTTCCCACGGACGACAGGCGCAGGAAGGCGTGCCCCCCTGCTTGGGCCGGCCGAGCGGAGGCCGACACGACCCTAGGTGGTCCCGGACACTGGACACCCGCTGCCAGCGCCTTGCCCGGGAACTGGCCACGCAGCCCCGCCCCCTCCGCCCTGCCCCTCCCAGCCTCCTGTGCGGGCGCGCTCTGTGGGCGGGGCCGGCTCGGGGAGCCGCGCCGCGATTGGCCGTGTCCAAGCAACCGCGGAGACTTGGTAGTCAACAGCCGCGCGGGACGCGTCCCGAACCGGCGGCTACGCGCGTGACAGAGAAGTCGAACGGCTGGAATCCTTTGTGCGGAGCTTTTATCCGCTTGTTAGATGCTTTCCTCGCCCGCCCTCTCGGGTCCGACGGCCCTCAGACGATGGGAACGGGAGCCGCCTCGTCTTCCATCTGACAGTTTGCCTAGTAAGTGCGGGTTACGACCCCGGCCACGCCAGAGCCGCTGAGGCGCTGAGCTTCCCCACACGCCCGTAGGGAAAGCTCGGAAGTGTACAGTTTCCGAGCTGGACTACACTGCTACTTTACACATGCGGAAACAGCTCCAGGAACGCTTAGCGACTTGCCCACATCCACTTAACTATTTGGTACTAGGTCAACCTGAGCGATAGGGTACCGACCCCTTCTCCTCTGGAGGTCTTTCCGCTGAACCTCACTCTCAGCAAAAACTCAGCCGCCCTGGTGGAGCACCAGCTTTTCTAGTTTGTGTCTGCCATAGGCCAACAGTAATAAGATGAGGAAATCTACTTGGGCTTTCTGTGGAGGTAACACAAGAACCAGAAGAAATTTATTTCCAATAAATAATGATAAATACGAACAGTGCAAAACCCAAAGCGATCTTCTAGCAATAAAACTTTGCACAACTTTCTGACCTGGAAAGGCTTCTGGCTCCCCCCCCCCCATTCCACACATACATGGTTTCACAATCACATCACCTTCTTATGTGGGCATAAAACTTAATAACTAGGTTTAGTTTCCACTTGATGGAGTTTTCCCTTTCATTTTCTTGAGAGCTCTAGGTTTCTTTCTTCTCAGCAATTCTCTTCCCCCTAAAGCACTCCAATTATTCTCATATTTTCTTTCCTTGATCCTATTTTCTCAACCCTGGGATAGTCCATTTCAATCTCCTTGCCTCCCCGCATTATTTGAGAGGATGATCACAGCCTAGCCTTGCCTCTCAAGGGCAGAAAAATGAGGAGAGGTTAAGTGTTTCTGGGGAAGAGTTCCAGCACGATATATTATGGAGCATCCTGCCAGCTTCCTTTCTTTTTGGAACAATCATAGTTCAAAACTCACATAAATCACAAGATATAGCCTCTTAGCCCAGACTTCTTTTTCAGACACTGACAGGAATATAGAGAGTTTGGGGTGTTGATAATAAAGCAGGTAGAATATTATTGAATGTTTAAACTGAATTAATAGACTCTAACTCTTGCACTGCCCCTCAACCTCTGACCACCTCAACCTCTCTCAGGACTTGTGGACTTCCAGACTCTCACCCAGGGCAGCTGAGGAGTGTCTCTCTGCTGCATATGGAGTCCCTACTTCCTTTAGTTGGGGCCTTTGGATTTGTGCCAGCTTAACCTTTCTATTTTCACCCAAAGTGCTGCCTGCCCAAGCCTTCAGCTCAAACTTTCACTTCCTTTTTTCCCTTTTACACTTCCTCCTTCTACTAAGGAAATCCCTTCTTATTTCCCCAAACTCTGTGGCTGTTAGGAGCCATTCTTGTGGCTTTTAAAACTTAGGGAAATGTGCAGCTGGGATATGTTGTTGTTTCTGACTTCTGGGTTTCTCAGTCCCCAAATTTGTAGTAATAATCTCAGATGAGGCAACCCTGAATAATAGTAAACAAACAAACAAATAAATATCATTGTTATATCCAGAACAAATGTCTCTTTTTAAAGAGATAGTATTTTTCCTGGTAGTAGCCTTGTTAGAACTTTGAAGTGAGTCTTTGTCTTTTTGAAAAAAATCAAGGTTATCTTAGTAATTCTGAATGGTAAATTTGATTCATCTCAATCCTCTTATAAAGTGCCTGTTGTACATAAGGCACTATGCTGAGAACCTTCATATAGTTTTGTCCCTGTAGCCACTGAACCTTCTGTAAGCCTAGAAAGGGCAAACCTGAGTGCCCAAGGCCACAGTGATGAAATATCAAAGCAAAAGTTAGGGCTTTACCAGGACAGGCTGCAGAAGGTTGTTGAGGGGATCTGGTGAAGCTTAACGGAGGAGGCAGCACTTGATATAGGGCTTGCAGGCTGAGGGTCTACACAGGAGAACTGTCTGAGCCCAGCCTGGAGATGGGAAGGCAGAGAGGCTGGGTGTGTGTGTGTGGGGGGGAGGGCAGTGGAGAGCAAAGGGAGTTACTTTGTTAGGTCCTTACCCCAGGCAGCCTTCCTTGCTCTAACAGAGTAGTTCCTATCCCATTCGAATAGAAAGATTTCTTATTAGAAGATGCCCTTTCTCCCTTTCCTTCCTTGTTTTCTGCAATTGCTTTCTTTCATTTCTAACAATACAAGAATTCTTGGACTATAAAATCCTAGAGAAGGGGTCCTCAAACTTTTTAAACAGGGGGTCAGTTCACTGTCCCTCAGACAGTTGGAGAGCGCGCACTGTGGACCCCGGACAAGTCGGCTGCTAAACAGGACAGGCAGCTATAGCAAAAACACCAGGTGGGATAAATGTCCTGGGCGGGCTGCATGTGGCCCGAGGGCTGTAGTTTGAGGATGCCTGCCCTAGAGTTAAGGTCTGAATCAGAATGAACTTACAGGTTCTAAAAATCAATACAGCCAGTCACACTTTATTTTAAATTATTTTTTAAAAATATCATATAAGTACAAAAGGGACTGGGACATGCACCTTAAATAGGTGGGAGAATTTTTGATTGACTTTTGTTTGGAATAAAAAATATGTCCCTTTGGCTTAGAAACAAAGCCTATGACTCTCTTTTGAACCCCTCTTTAAGGTTCTAAAATCCATGTTAGATAACCTTATTAGGGCAGTTTATGTAAAAGTGCTCCCTTTCAAACCTAGGATTTGTAGCTCCCTCTAGCAAGAAGATTGTAGAAGGTGGGTATGTTTTGGGGAAGAGAAAGATTAACTGGAAATGATGAAATAGTCAAAAATCATTCTTCTGAGTTTCCCTTTCTTGTTTCTGTAGGAACAGTTGACCAAATTTAAAAGACATCCAGCTTTTGTCTTTGTGGAAAGATACCTGAAAGAAAGTTGAAGCATATTAGTCTGCCCTTGTTTTCATGTTCTGTGATTCATAGCTTCGTAGCTCAGTATGACTGGAGACTTAGGGATAAAAGAGTACTTGGAGTGAAAGTGAGTATCGTGAAACAAAACACAATTACTAAAGGATAAGGACTTTTAGCTTATGTGTTTGTACATAGTTCTTTCCAATATATGAAGTGTGTATCTATGCATAACTCATGCATTATCACATTTGTTCTATCCAGTATCCCTGGGTGTTAGGGCAAGCAGGTGTTGGTTACTAATGTAGAAAGGTGGAATCATTTGCTTAAAGTGGTAGAATGGGCTTACACTGAGCTTTGATTCTAAACTTTTCCACTTCTGTATGATGCTTTCCAAATACTGTATCATTCTTATCAAATTGAGCCCATTGAAGAAAGAAAGCAAGGGCTTCATCAATAATATGAATTTGTATAATTTTGGATTTCAACATGTGTGGATAATGCAAATTCACGTAAGACCTTGAAATGGATATCATTATCATGAAAAGCTTGAGAGTGACAAGCTAGGAAGCTTATTGAGCCTGAGCTCTGGGAATAAAGATTAGTGCTCTTTGTCTTCCATGAGGACTTGGGAGCCCTACTAGGATGCAGTCTTACTGGAACACAGCTGTAGGCTTGTCCCATAGGACCAGGCTGGAGGAGGTTAGTTGTAAAGATAGCAGACTGGTTCAGAAATGGCTTTGACTCCTGCTTCTCTCATTTACTGGCTGTGGTAGAACGTCTTTAAATTCTCAAAGCTTCCAATTCCTCAAATATAAGCAGAGTGTTAACAGAGAGTAACTAATATGGTTATGAAGAACCTGTGAGATAATACATATAAAAAGGTAGTCCCGTGTGTGGCCAACAAGTGAAAGTTGCTGCAGTTGTTTGTATTATGATAAAGGCCACAGAATACAGACTTTGGAGCTGGATAGCTGGGTTAGAATCTCAACTCCACCCCTTACCAGCTATGAGATTGTGGCCAAGTTAACCCTTCTCTGTGTTGATTTCCTTATCTTTAAAATAGGAATAAAAGTAGTATGTACCTTATAAGGTTATTAGAAGGATTAAATTTATATTGCTAATAAGAATATTTCTAACTTCTTTTCATCAAGCCTCACTGGCTTGAGTCCAACTGATTTTTGTGTTTGACTGAATTGCCATGTCATAACACTGAGACTTTCAGGAAATATAGTTAGAGTTTTTTAAATGGGGAAAGGGAGTATTTTCATTGTTAAAAAGTTTTATGGTTCCAGGGATCAATTTACATGCATTGCACACTCTGAATACAGATGTAAGCAGAGCTTTCTACACTTCCTCCAAGTTATCAGGCCTTGCCCAACTGTGGTGAGTGGGTTAGGATTGCATTACAGTTTAGCCACTCCTTTCCTCTTATGTACACTGGCTATATTTAGGAAGGTCTAGATAAGCCTAATATATTGCATATTGCCTCGAGTCCAGTGGATCCCAGGACAGCTAGCTACATGAACCAGAATGTTTAAGTCCAATATTAGAGCAAGGTCCCAGAAAATAAAACAATTCAGAAAGTGGGTACATGTGTTTTAGCTGGGCTGAGCTGTGGTCTGGTTCCCACCCTCCCACCAGCTCCCACTTAGCTACTGTAGCTATAGAACAAGTATATTTCCTCTCCAGTTTTATCCTCTTTTTCCTTGTTGGAAGCAAAATGTCAGGTGTGATTGTAATTGAAATACAGATATATAGTGAAGGTTCTGAGGAGAGTGTTTATTTTTCCAAAATGGAAGAGCTTTGTATTTTTCTGATTATAGAAGTAAATCCTATTTTAGAAATGTTTAAATAATGCAAAAATCTAAACAATATGGAAAAAGCAAACACTACACATACTTCAACTACACAGAGAAAACTATAGTAAACCTGTTAATGTACATGTTTCTAGATGTTTTTCTGTGTGTCTATGTGTGTATACATATGATAATGAATTTTTTGGATACCTCCTAGCAATACATGTGGTTATCTCTTTTTCCAACAAATATACATCTGTATTATAATATTAATGGATAAATAGAATTCCACTTCATGGGTCTACCATAGTTTATATTAAGCCAATCCTCTGTTGATGTAAGATTATTTCTAAGTTTTCAGGAAGTCTGAGTTTGACAATTGTCCTTGCAGGGAGTCTCTGGGACTTAGATCCTGATTCTGAGATGGAGAAATCAGGTTCATCTTCTACCATCTCTGAATGGCAGCTGCAGAGGCAGGAGGGTCTGACCAGCACCAAAGCAGACTTGGCTGAACAGAGTTTCATTTCATCAGAGAAATGGCTTCAACTGTATGGGCTTAAGAGCAAAAAATTGACCTTGAAACAGATTTTGTCACAGATTGGATTCCCACATTGTGAAGGTATAGTACTCACAAAACCCCAGCATGCTGCTGTTTAGCCTTTGAAGAGGCTGCATCAGCTCCGAAGGCCCCTCAAAAACCATAGGTCTCTGAGCTTGCTATGATCTCATGCCCTATCAGTAGAAAATGTCTGTGCATGCACCCCCAGTATGTGTATATCATATACATGCATAATTGTCAAATCACATATTAAGCATTAATAATGCTTTCTTTTTTATTTTTTAAATTGACAGATAAAATTGCATGTATTTATCATGTACAACATGATGTTTTAAAAAATATACATTATAGAATGGTTAAATCTAGCCAATGAACAAATTCATTACCTCATATAGTTATCATTTTTGTGTTGAAAACACTTGACATCCACTCTTTTTGCATTTTTCAAGAATATAACATATCATCATTAACTATGATGACCATGCTGTACAATAGATCTCTTGAATGTATTTCTCTTAACTGTAATTATGTATCCCTCTTTCCCCACATTCACCCCAGCCTCTGGTAAGCACCATTCTGCTCTCTACTTCTATGAAGGCTACTTTATTAGATTTCACAACACGAGTGAGGGAGATTATGTGGTATTTGACTTTCTGTGCCTGGCTTATTTCACTTAATGTAATGGCCCCCAGATTCATTCACGTAGTTGCAAATGCCAGGATTTGTGTCTTTTTTATGACTGAATAATATTTCAGTGAGTATGTATACTACATTATCTTTATCCATTAATCTTTGGATGGACACTTGGGTTGATTTCATATGTTGGCTATTGTGAATAGTGCTGCAATAAATATGGGAATGCAGATATCTCTTCGACATCCTGATTTCATTTCCTTTGGATATATACCCAGTAGTGGGATTGTTGGATCATATAGTAGTTCTAATAATAGTTTTTTGAGGACCCTCTATACTTTTTTCCATAATGACTATACAAATTTACATTCCTATCAACATAGTGTACAGGTTCTCTTTTCTCCAACCCTTATCTTTTTGATAATAGCCATTCTAATAGGAGTAAGATGATATCTCATGGTGGTTTTGATTTTTATTTCCCTAATGATTAGTGATACTGAGCATCTTTTCATATACCTGTTGACCATTTGTATGTCTTCTTTTGAGAAATGTCTATTCAGGACTTTTGCCCATTTTTAAATCAGGTTATTTGGTTTTCTGCTATTGAGTTCTTTGAGTTCCTTATATATTTTGGATTTTTACCCCTTATCAGATGTATACTTTGCAAATATTTTCTCCTATTCTGTAGGTTGTCCCTTTGTTGATTTTTTTCCTTAACTATGCACAACCTTTTTTATTTATTTATTTATTTATTTCAGCATATTATGGGAGTACAGATTTTAAGGTTTCAATAAATGCCCATTTCCCCCCCTCCCCCTACAAGTCTGAGTCTCCAGCATGACCATCCCCCAGATGATGTACATCTCACTCATTATATATGTATATACCTTCCCCCCCTCCCTCCTACCTGCCAAATACCCTATTACTATAGTACCTATGTGACCACTTAGGTGCTGTTCAGTTAATACCAATTTGCTGGTGAGTATATGTGGTGCTTGTTTTTCCATTCTTGGGAAACTTCACTTAATAGTATGGGTTCAAGCTCTAACCAGGAAAATATAAGATGTGCTATATCACCATTGTTTCTTAGAGCTGAACAGTACTCCATGGTATACATATACCACATTTTATTAATAATTCTTGATTGATGGGCACTTGGGCTGTTTCCACAGCCTTGCAATTATGAATTGTGCTGCTAAAACATTCGAGTGCAGGTGTCTTTTTTGTAGAGTGTCATTGGATCTTTTGGGTAGATGCCCAGCAATGGGATTGCTGGATCAAATGGTAGATTCACTTGTATCGCTTTAAGGTATCTCCATATGTTTCACAAGGTTGAACTAGTTTGCAGTCCCACCAGCAGTGTAGGAGTGCTCTCTCTCTCGCAACCATGCCAGCATTTGTTGTTTGGAGACTTTTGATAAAGGCCATTCTCACTGGAGTTAAGTGATATCTCATTGTGGTTTGATTTGCATTTCCCTAATGATTAGAGATGTTGAGCATTTTTTCATATGTTTGTTGGCCATGCTTCTGTCTTCTTTAGAAAAGTTTCTGTTCAAGTCCTTTGCCCACTTTTTAATGGGGTTATTTGATTTTTTCTTCCTGATTTTCGTGAGTTCTAAGTATATTCTAGTTATCAGTCCCTTATCGGATGCATAGGATGCAAAAATTTTCTCCCATTCTGTAGGTTGTCTGTTTACTTTCATGACTATTTCTTTGGCTGTGCAGAAGCTTTGTAGTTTGATCACGTCCCATTTATTATTTTTGTTGCTGCTGTGATTGCCTTTGGGGACTTCTTCATAAACTCTTTGCCCAGGCCGATGTCTAGGAGAGTGTTTCCAACTTTTTCCTCTAGAATTCTAATAGTTTCATACCTTAGGTTTAAGTCTGTTATCCAGCATGAGTTGATTTTTGTGAGAGGTGAAAGGTGTGGGTCCTGTTTTAACCTTCTACAGGTGGCTATCCAGTTTTCCCAGCACCATTTATTGAAAGGGTTCTTTTCCCAGCTATGTTTTGTCTGCTTTGTCAAAGATTAGATGGCTATATGAGGATGGTTTTATATCAGGATTCTCACTTCGTTCCACTGGTCCTATTCCTATTTTTGTGCCAATACCATTGATTTAATTACTACAGCTTTGTAGTATAGTTGATATCTGGCATATTAGTGCCTCCATTTGTTTTTGTTGCCTAAATTGCTCTTGATATTCGGTCTTCTTTGGTCCATACGAAGCGTAAAATTATTTTTCTATATCTGTGAAGAATGCTGATGGGATTTTAATAGGTATTGCATGAATCTGTAGATCAGTTTGGGTAGTATAGACATTTTGATGATATTGAGTCTGCCGATCCACGAGCATGGTATGGATTTCCATCTGTTTACATCTCTGCTATTTCCTTCCTCAGTGTTTCATAGTTCTCCCTGTAGAGGTCTTTTACATCCTTGGTTAAGTATAGTCCTAGGTACTTTAATTTCTTTTTTGCTATTGTGAAGGGAATTGAGTCTTTGATTTGGTTCTCAATTAGATTGTTGTTGGCGTATATGAATGCCTCTGATTTCTGTGTATTGATTTTGTATCCTGAGACTTTACTAAATTCATTTATCAGTTCCAGGAGTTCTTGGTTGAATCTTTGGGGTTTCTAGTATATATTCATATCATCAGAAACAGTGAAAGTTTGATCTCTTCTGCCCCTATTTGGATACCTTTGATTCCATTTTCCTGTCTGATTGCTGTAGCCAAGACTTCCAGCACTATGTTGAACAGAAGTGGAGATAATGGCAGCCTTGTCTGGTTCAGTTCTAATGTGGAATGATTTCAATTTTTCCCCATTCAGTTATGATGTTGGCTATGGGTCTGTCATATATGGCTCATTATTTCTTTATTAATTTTCTGTTTAGAGGATCTGTCTTGTGCCATCAGTGGGGTGTTGAAATCTCCGGTGATTATGGAGTTGCTATTAATCCATGTGCTTAGATCCAGTAAGGTTGGCTTTATGAAACTGGGTGCACCTAAGTTGGGTGCATATATATTTAAAATTGTTATCTCTTCTTGTTGAACTGTGCCCTTCACCATTATATAATGACCCTCTTTGTCTTTCACTACTTTTGTTGGTTTAAAAACTAAATCGTCTGAAATTAGAACTGCCATGCCACTTCTTTGGTCTACTGCCTGGAATAGTGATCTCCACCCTTTTACTTTTAGTCTATATGCATCCTTGCGGTTAGATGTGTTTCCTGAAGATAGCTATACTTGGCCTGTATTTTCTATCCATTCAGCCAGCCTATGTCTCTGAGTGAGATTTAAGCATTCACATTTATTGAGAGAACTGAAGGTAAGTAGATTAGTGATCATCTGTTGGGTTGGATGTTGCTTTGATTTCTCTTGAGCCATTGTATTATCTGGCCTTTAATCTTTGGGTTTTGGTTTTTTATATTCGTGAGTTTTTATAGGTTCCGTGCGAACACTGGAGTATCTGATGCTAGCTGGTCTTGTCTGGTGAATTCTCTGAGACTTTGCTTGTCTGAGAATGCTTTATTTCTCCTTCATATGAAGCTTAGTTTTGTAGGGAATAAGATTCTAGGCTAGGCATGTTTGTTTCAGAAGAGTGAGAATGGGCCCAGTCTCTCCTTGCTTGTAAAGTCTCATTAGAGAAGTCTGGTTATTCAAATGGCTTTCTTGTATGTCATTTCTTCTTTCTCTTACAGTCTTTAGAAGTCTCTTAGTGATATTTTGTCAGTCTGATGATGCATGCGTGACGTCTTTCGCTGCATTGAATCCCAGGGTCCTCAGGCTTCTTGAACTTGTATATCGAGATTAGCAAGGCCTGGGAATTCCAATATCAAATAGTGTCCAACCTTGAGTGTTGTCTTCTTCTTTTGTTAACCTATGACCTCACATAAGGTTTCTTCACATAATCCCACATCTCTGCTTTGCTCTTTCTCTTGTTTGTCTGCTCTATCTCTGTTACGGTTTATTTAGTTGAGGATGTTATCTTCAATCTCTGAGATTCTTCTTCTGTTTGATCTACCCTGTCTTGAGACTTTCCACTGTTTAGCCCGAATTGATTCTTCATTCCAGGAGTTCGGTTAAATTTTCTTATGTGTTTTATTCTTCAGTGAACTTTTGTTCTAGTCCTGGAGGCTTTTTGTGATTTCTTTGTGTTGGTTATTGAGTTGTTTTGCAGGTCGGTGAGTGTTCTTATGATCCACATACGAAATTCCTCTTCTGTCATTTTGGTTGCCTGATTTTCGTTGGTGTCCGTTTCTATGGGATGGTGCTCCTCTTTGGGGGTGTGTTTTCCGTTTGGTTCTTCATATTTCCTGAGTTCCTTCGCTGATTTCTTTCCAGGATGATCAGTTGTTATTTCTTTCCTTTAGTTTTTTGTTTGGGTATTCACACACTTGTTTAGTTTCTGAGCCAATTAGTGGTGTC